CATTTTTTGTATTTTTATGTATTTATTAATTTTTAAAATATTATTTCACAAATTTTTTACTTTTTAGATACAAATAATTAAGGTGCATCTAAAAAAGTAAAAAATATATATATTTAAAATTTTAAAAATATTCACTAAAAAAAAGTACAACATAATTGATGTTATTTGGTTATTAATTTTTTGAGTACATTTTGCTGAAAAAATTAATATTTTACTGAAAAAATACTAAAAGTACAAAAATATTTTTTCAGTACATTTTTTGTATTTTTATGTATTTATTAATTTTTTAAAATATTTTTTCACAAATTTTTTACTTTTTAGATACATCTAACTAAGGTGTATCTAAAAAAGTAAAAAAAAAATGTTTAAAAATTTAAAAATATTCACTAAAAACAAAAAAAATATGAAAATCAAAAAACTCAGTTTTCAAATAACTAAATCCAAAAAACTCAAACCAAATACACTAAATACTTTTTAAACAATTATGTTGACATTTTGAAAAAAATTGTATTTTATAGAAAAAAATTTTAGCTAACCAAACAAATGTTTTACTTTTTTTTGATAAAAAAATTACATAATATTTTGAAAAAAATTGTATTTTATAGAAAAAAAAATTTAGTTAACCAAACAAATGTTTTACTTTTTTTTGATAAAAAAATTACATAATAAATATATAAAGTATAGAATGAAAAAAAAAGAAAAAAAAAGAAAAGAAAAAGGAGGTTGCATTGATTGAACTCGCGCCTTTGCCAAGCATAACAATTGCAATACCATTTGAGCTACAAAGAACTCAAGTCTTGCTTTGATCACATTTTAATATATATTAAAAGTTTTCTTAAGGAAATAATTCTACACAGTGAAAGCGTGGTTTGAAACCACGTTTTCTAACAAATTTAATTATAAGCATAGTAAAAGTGTGGTTTGGAACCACGTTTTCTGTAGAAAATTTTTTTTTGCTTAAAAGCGTGCTTTCTAACCACGTTTTTTGAAAAAAAAAAATTTATGTTAAAAGCGTGGTTTGTAACCACGCTTCCTTAATTAAAAGCGTGGTTTGTAATAGCGTTTTCACTATTCATCACATTTTCGGCTCCAAACATTGAAAGCGTGATTTGTAGTAGCGCTTTAGCCTAGTTTGAGAATTCCGTCCAAACGAGACCTAATTTGAGAATTAAGATAATAAATTGGCTTAATATGGAAAAAGCCCCGGGATACATTGATAATTGGTACAGCACATGGGTAAATATTGGAGGAAACTTAAAATTTTTTTTGAATGAACCGAACACAGGGTTATTTGATAGTGAAATCATTTTGTTTTTTTGAATGATTATTACCGTTAGGTGCTATTTGGTTTGGTGTTTGAAATGGTGCTCCTGAGTCTCACGATAATAATTGGGGGTTTGCTTTGTGAAGTGCTACATTGGTCATATATTACATAAAATAAATATAGCATATTTGTGGAGATGACAGATGCAACCATAGTGGTTTGTGCATGGTTGATGTCATTTTCATCCTACCAATTGTTTAGTTAAATTTCAATCCACTTAGACCATCTCTAACATTTCATCTTTTCTTTTATCAAATTTAAATTTGATAAAAAAAATTAATTAAAATTTTACGATAATGTTGTCATTAGTTTGATATCAAATTGAGGATGACTAAAATTTTTCATCAAATTGAGGATGAGTGAAACTTTTCATCAAATTACTGTAGATAACTAGACAATCGGTCGGTTATCCAGCCGGTTGTCTCCCTGAGCATCCACTTCTTTGCAATTTACGCTGGCTGGTCAATCGGCTGAACATCCGCCCAATCGTCCGCCTAGTCGACCAGTGATTTGATGAAAGATCAAAAACCTCCGTTGGAGTGCACAATATCAGATGAAGTTTTTATTCAAATTTGATGAAATAAATGAGTAAACGTTAGAGATGTCCTTTGTTATATGCAATATAATGTTTGTTTTCCTTATATGGTTATAATTTGAATGTCAACAGTAACACTAGCTGGTGTGCATTTTAATTTTAATTTTTTTTTAGATTGTAGAGCACTGGTTGATGTGTATTGTTTGATATTTAATTTTTTTATATATTTGATTTGTTGAGAATTGTAGAGTACAAGCTGGTATGCATTTTTCAATTTAATTTGTTGAGATTGCAGAGCACTTGCTGGTGTGTTTTATTTGGTGTTTTATAATTTTTTTTTTAATTATTATTATAGAACATTAACAAGGGTACAATAGTTTTAATTTGTGTATTTTGTTTAGTGTTTACAAACTTGCTCTTATATTTTGATTTGCAATACTAGTAAACATTATAAATCTTATATGTTTGTTTCTTAATTTGATTAAGGCTAGGGGAGTTATTATTTTATTTGATTTTTGTAGAACGTGTGGTACAAATAAAATTGTTACAAGTTTTTTAAGAAGAATATTATTTCCTTATATTTTGTCAATATCTTTATCAAAAAAATCGACATGGTTCGTGTAAATTATAATTACATTTTGATCACAACATTATTTACATCGTGCCTTCAGGCGCGAACATACACTAATTTCATATATTAAACATTTCGATTACATATTAAAAGACTAATAACCATCAATTACATGATAATCATCTAAAAATATCTGTTAACAACAAAAACGACCATCTATTACATGATAATCATCCAAAAATATCAACAAAAATAACTACACATTACATGATCATCATCCAAATACATACTAAAATTTAATTTGGTAAAAAAATAAAAATGTAAAAGATTTATTATTTTGGGACGTTTATACACATATCCTGATTTATGAACTTATATTTCATTAAATCCTAACTAAGATTTTTTGGACTTTCAAGTCCTATTAAATTTTTAATAGTCAGCATTACCCTTTAAACAATGATTGTTCATCATTTATGATTATTTATAAAGGAACATGATGATTTGAGAATTGCTTTGATTTTCAAAACTTTAAACCATCAACTTTCAAATTGAAAAAAACTATAAAAAAAAAAATTATGTGCAAAAAAAATTAATCACCATGTTTATATCTAATTTTTTGAAAACACTTTTCAGAAAATTTTACTTTCTTATTTTTTGTATTTTTTTTGTTTTTACAGAAATTTTTAATATTTTAAGCAAATTTTTTTTTTTAATTTTTAGACACACCTAACATAAATAGACTTAAAAAGTATAATTTTTGTGAAAAATATCTTTAAAAAATTCACTAAATACAAAAAAAATAAATATGAAAATTCAATATATTTTTCATATTTTTGTGTATTTATTAATTTTTGAAAATATTTTTCCATAAATATTTTACTTTTTTGATACATCTAAGTAAGGTGCATCTAAAATAGTAAAATCAATGCTTAAAATTTTAAAAATATTCAGTAAAAATAAAAATAAAAACGCGAAAAACAAAAAAATTCAATTTTTAGAAAACTAAATTCAGAAAACTGAAACCAAACACACTTGTTTTTTTTTTTTGTTGAAAAAATTGAAAGAAATGATTTTTTTTAATGCAAAAATGAAAATTTTGTATCTATAAAGGAGCATGATAATTGAACATTGATGTGCAAAACTTTAAAAAAAAAAAAAAAAAAAACTGATAGTGTTCTCAGTTTTAAAACTCAAAAAAATGTTAATGTTCTCAATTTTATTGGATAGTTGAATTAAACCAATAAGTAGAAGAGCAAAAACATTTAATCTCATGCCTTTTTCTTTTTTTTTATCAGTTAGTAAAACAATTATCTGGAACATTACTATATAAAATTGATAATGTTTTTAGTTTTAAAAATTGAAAAAAACTAATAATATTCTCAGTTTTACTAAATAGGACTTATTGGTTAAAAAAAGTCTTAAGTAAGACCTGAGCTACCATAACATTTGTAAGGACTTTTAAGTAATTAACTCTATTATTTTTATATAATTTTATCTTCGGTCGATAGAAAATAATTTTCTAAAATTCAAAAATAACTTTTAGACATTTATTTTTGTCAAACTAGTTTGTATCTTATTAAATTATCCATTTTGCCATTAAAATGGAGCATTTTCTGTTTGTAAAAGAAACATTATTTTCAATTATCCTTTTTTGGAATGAAATTTAAAATTTAAGATCAAATATATCATAATTAAAATGTCATGATCAAAGTGACACAAGCCCAAAATTATAGGAACTGTTAGTATAATTCATTTTATTTTCTTATTTATTTATGATATTATTTTTGTTATATCTCATAAAATCTTTGATTATATTCCATATAATTTAAATTATATATATTTTTAATTATGATTGAAAAAGTATAAAATTATATTATTTTTTACTTTATTATAAGTTACATATCTTAGGGCATCTTCAACGGTTCAATAATTTTTTCATCAAATTTGAGTAGAAAAAAGGCGAGTTCCTCAATCTGATATCAGTCGCTCCAACGATGTACTGTAGCTTTCATCAAAAGACAGTGGACGTTCAGGGGGACAACCAGCCGATCGACCGGACAAGGAAATTGAAAAAAAAATTCCCTCCATTTTTGTTTCCCAATTCGTTTCCCATTTCTTTTTCCTTCCATTAAATATTTTTCATTTTTTTTTTTTTTTTGCCTCCAATAATGATTTCCTTCCAAAAACTAATATAGACACATTAATCCATGTATCATATACCAGAAAAGAGGCACGTTATATCTGCAACCAACCATAACTGAAAGCAGAGCATAATCAGTATCTCAAATTCTTACGTGTTCACTTCATTTTCATCATCTTCTTCTTCCTCATCCTCTGATGATGAGTCTGATGATGAAAAAATGGTCAAACTTTTGCGTGTTTATGAGATAAATAATGCTAGTATGTTTCAGATTCTGTAATCAACTGATCGATCAAAGAAAAAGGATGGTTCTATTGTAGGACATAATTACATATGCCGCGATAGATGGAAGGGTCATGAACAATTGTTTGTAGAATATTTTGCAGCAAATCCAGTTTATTCACTTGCAACATTTCGAAGACGTTTTAGAATGTGTCGTCCTCTATATCTGCCAATTTTGAATGCCATTGAAGCACACGATCCATATTTTGTTCAAAAACAAGATGCAGCTCATATCCTTGAATTGTCTCTCCTGCAAAAGATGACTTCAGCAATGAGAATACTGTCATATGGAGTGACAGCAGATGTAGTTAATGATTATGTACATATTGGGGAAAGCACTGCAATTGAAAGTTTGCAGCACTTTTGCAATTCAATAATTGAAATCTTTGGACCCGAATACCTGAGATCTCCAACAACAACTAAAATTGCTAGATTACTTGCTATTGGGGAGGTTCGTGTGTTTCCGGGTATGTTGGGAAGTTTAGATTGCATGCATTAGGAGTGAAAAAATTATCCAACGGCATGGCAAGGTCAATACTTATGCCATCAGAAAAAACCAACCATCATTCTTGAAGTAGTAGCTTCTTATGACTTGTGGATTTGACATGCATTTTTTGGAATGCCTGGATCACACAATAACTTGAATATGTTAGATCGATCGCCCTTATTTTTTGATCTTGCCTAAGGTAAAGCTCCGCCTGTCCATTACACTATTAATGGATACACTTATAATATGGGTTATTACCTTGATGATGGTATATACCCTCAATAGACAATACTGGTTCAAACAATCTCTTCTCCCGAAGGATCAAAGAAGCAACATTTTTCAATAATGCAAGAGTCAGCAAGGAAAGATATAGAGCAGGCATTCGAAGTGCTCCAATCCCGATTTGCAATTTTAGATGGTGTCATATATTTTTGGGATTCGAAAATGCTTGGTAACATAATGAAGAGTTGCGTTATATTACACAATATGATTGTCGAAGATGAGAGAGAGGAGCATCTTGATTTCGATTATGATATTTCATCAACCAACTCACCAGTAGTACTTTTGTGTAGCAGTAACAATGACTTTCAATCATTTATATCCCGTCATTTAGGTATTAGAGATAAAAATGTATATCATGCCCTCCACAATGATTGATAGAACATATGTGGCATCTACATGGTGAAAACTAACTTCACCACGTAGACGCGAACATGAACTTTGGGTTGATTTTTTCGATTAGGAGGTGATTACACAAGGAAAGTTGTCAATGTTTGTTTGTTGTTAGTGCTCTTCACAATGTACACATCTGTTTTTGTTAGGATTTTAGGTCCGTTAACTTTGTCATTATAAAAAATAGTGTGCATTTGTTACCAATATACTGATGTCATAATTTACTGATGTTGTGTTCTGACATGGCTTTGGACTACTGATATGGATGCCTATAACATATACCTTACTTTAGTGTATGACAACTTTTCAAAATTTTGCATCTACATTTATTAAATTACAAATGAATGCAGCACACTTCACAAATGAATTACAAAGGTTTGGTGAATGCCTCATGAAACACACACCACTATCCAACTACCTCATTTAAGACATTTACCCACTTCATTACTTCCCTCCACCACCTACCTCATTTAAAGTTAATGACACTATATACACTCAAAATTGGACAAAAATGTATGTCATTTTTAGTGAAGGAAGTGTGCATTCTGCTCCAGAACTGGTCAACCGATGGGTCAAACGGTGGGTTGACTGGCTGGTCAATCGGCCTTTTTTTTTTTTTGTGAACTTCCTTTTCTGTTGCACTTTTGTACTGCCTTTTCACACTATTTGGTCACCTCACACTCAATTTCAGCCCCTCTATAATCCACCATTCATATTTAACAAATTTCCAATCAAATTGAATAGATATTCACATCATGCCTAGAACCAAAAGAGCAAGACTAGAACATGTTGAAAGCTCCAACCCTCCACCACGCCAATAATAGCAACAGCAGTCTCAAAGTTCAGCTTATCCTACTATTGATTTTCTCACTTACAATCATGAACAAGCCTTTCAAAGCTTCTCTAGCTGACCTACTGTCCCTGGGAGAAGGGTTAATCTTCCCGCTTAATATGATCCTCTGTTGGTTAGTAAACTTGAGGCTATGGGATGGCTAAATTTAATCAATTTACCACAAAAGGTATATCCATGTCCTGTGTCTTTATTTTATGTTCACTCAAAATGTACTACATAAATTGAACACAGAAATACACTGCAAGAAATTGAATAGAAATCATAGTCTTCATGAAATAGTCAAGGAAATCTTTTTGTTGATCGAAATAAGATTTGCCGTTAAAGCTCTTCATAGTACGCCCTTTGCATAGGATTTAAATTGTCATGTCCATTGACATTATTTTATAATCCTTATTTCGTTGTTCTATTTCATTCATCATAAATAAGATTTTTAGTTGTTCCTCCTATCCTCGGTCTTTCTTCGACGCTTTGCAACCTTCTGTTCACGGTCTATCGCCTTTTGTCATCTCGCTCAACAGTTCTAGCGGAGATAGTTGATAATACTTCAACAATTTTAGATTGGTTGGCAGTCATTTCATCAAATCTAACATCGTGAGTTGTTTGATTCTTCAACTTCTCTTTCGTAGCCTTAGTACCAATTGGTCGTGTTGATATATTAATCGGTTGTTGGTCCCCCACAATATTGTTGTTGGGTTGAAAAGCCTCACCTTCAGTTGCTAGATTCAAAAATGAATATGCTTGTTGCGTGATTTTTTTTGGTTGTGTTCTAAATTCATCTCACTTACAACTTTGGTGCAAAATATCCCAGCTTGTATCAAATATGAATTGTTTTTTCTGTATTGCATGATACATGTGCTTCACTTTAGCGACCTAAAAAATGTAAATTATAAGCATTTAGATAACAAGCAGACTGAGCACTAAGAAAATTGATATTTAATAACAAAAATGAAAATTACCATGTCTGTCTCAGTTGTTCCACTTTGTTGCCTCAATTGGATTTGCTTAAGAAAACCACAGAATTTATTAATTGCCTTTTGCATGATAGACCAATGGTGAGACAAAGAAATACGGTTTCGATTTGATTCACCACTTAATTGTGAATTAAAATAAACGAGTACTCGTTTCCAAAATATTACCATGGTCTGACTATTACCAGTAGTGGGATCTTGAGAGACAGCTAACCATGACCTACATAAAGTTTTATCTTCTATAATTGTGAACACTTTAACATGAGAAACACGAGAAGTTTCCAAAATAAAATTAATATCAGTGTTTTGCTCTGAAGTTTGTGATTCTTCAAACATTTCAAAATTTTCCATAGTTTTAAGAAAACTCAATAGGATACAACATTCAACACAAACAGTGAAATATATTGTAATAATATACACTTAAGCTAACAAGAAATAATATACACCAAAGCTCACAAAGAAGATAGAAATTGTAAGTGTGTTTGGTTTCAGTTTTCTGAAAACTGAGTTTTTTATTTTTTGTATTTTTTTATTTTTAGTGAATATTTTCTAAATTTTAAGTAATTTTTTTTACTTTTTTAGATGCACCTTACTTAGATGTATCTAAATAGTAAAATATTTGTAAAAAAATATTTTAAAAAATTAATAAATACACAAAAATACGAAAAATGTACTATTTTTTTTATTTTTTTGTATTTTTTGATATTTAGTGTATTTTTTAAAGATTTTTTTTTCACAAATATTATACTTTTTAAGAGTATTTATGTTAGGTGTGTCTAAAAAAAATTTTAAAAAAAATTGTTTAAAATATTAAAAAAAATCATTGAAAATATTAAAATACGAAAAATAAAAAAGTAAAATTTTCTGAAAACTAGAACCAAACAAGCTGATATTGTGAAACTGGAACTCACAAAGAAATAGAAATTGTAATGATATTGAGAAAGTAAAATATTGGTATATTTTATAGATCGCAACGATAACTTTGTCAAATATTCTGCAACACCAACGGTAACTTATTGGAGTTGCACCTGCTGAATGACTAATTTTGATACAAATTTAAATCTATATCCGATGCATTTCCCTCTGTTACGGATCAATGTTGAATTTATTTTTGGTGCCACAAAAGCAGCCAACTTTTCAAGCCGGTTTGCAAGCCAAACCATAGTTACTGCTCTGCATTTTCTGTATAAACCGGACAACTGGTGGGACAAGCGGCCATTGGTCAGATGTCCGGTGGGACCCACTTTCAACATATACGCACAGTAAAATTATAAAATCTACCCAAATTTCTCAATTTGGTAAAAATTTTGGTCCGTTCTCAATTTGATATCATTTTGATGAAACTGTTAGTGAGATGAAAACTGTCATTTTTTTATCAAGTTTAAATTTAATGACGAATCTGGTGACGCATTTGAGATGGCCTTACACACGTTTTGAATGGTGTACATAGCCTTTGCCAAATTCAAAAGTCTTTCCCAAATTTAAAGAGCTGAAGTAATGTAGATAATTTTTTTTCATCAAATTTGATGAAGATGAAGGATGTGCAATGCAAGTGAGGGATGAAAGAGGGTTCTACAGTAAAGATGATTTGGGTTTACTGGTAGTGTTTGATGGCGAAGAATACATGGATGGCCCAAAAAGAAGAGCAAACTGAAGCAAATTTAGCAAAAATAAAGGACCTTTGCTACCTTAGGAGTTCACTGTTCACAGAGAGAGAGAGAGAGAGAGAGAGAGAGAGAGAGAGAGAGCTGGGTTAGCATTTGCAAAACGATGACATGAAAGCGTTGAGGAGATACACTAGACCCTGTCATAGTTTTCTTGATAGCTTGCATTGCAGAAAATTTTCAGCTACTAATACTGGAACACAAAACCCAGAAGTTACATATGCGATCCAAGTGTCCAATTTGCAAGAACTCTTGCAGAGTTGTGCTAGAAAGAGAGAACCCACGGAAGGGAAGGCTTGCCATGGAAAGATTATTCGTGTTGGTTTACAAGTGGACACTTTTACATCAAATATGCTAATTAATATGTATTCTAAATGTGGGTTTGTTGATTGTGCTCGCAACGTGTTTGATGAAATGCCTATAAGAAGTTTAGTTTCATGGAATACTATGATTGGTTCCTATACCCAGAACAAGGATGAAGAAGCGGCTCTTGATCTTTTCGTGTATATGCAAAGGGAAGGAACCCAATTCAGCGAATTCACCATCTCGAGTGTTCTTTGCGCTTGTGCTTCTAAATGTGCTGTTTTTGAGTGCAAACAACTTCATGCTTTTGCCCTCAAGACAGCGATGGATTCAAATGAGTTTGTGGGTACTGCATTGCTTGATGTTTACGCGAAAAGTAGTCTCATTGAGGATGCGTCTCGGGTTTTTGAGTGTATGCCCGAGAGGAGTGCTGTCACGTGGAGTTCAATGATTGCAGGATATGTACAGAATGAGCTTTATGAGGAGGCTTTGGTGTTGTTCCACGGAGCACAAATGATAGGATTGGAAAACAACCAGTTTACAATGTCGTCTGTTCTCTCTGCCTGTGCAGGTTTGGCTGCTCTTATTGAAGGGAACCAGATGCATGCTGTAATACACAAATCAGGTTTTGATTCAAACATTTTTGTGGCATCCGCTCTCATAGACTTGTATGCGAAATGCGGAAGCATTGAAGAGGCTTATATTGTGTTTTCATGCGTGGAAGAGAAGAATATTGTTTTATGGAATGCAATGATTTCTGGGTTTTCTAGACATGCTCGGTCTATGGAGGCTATGATTTCATTCGAGAAAATGCAGCAGATGGGAATATGGCCAAATGAAGTAACTTATATTTCTGTGTTATCTGCATGTGGCCATATGCGTTTAGTTGAAAAGGGACGAAAATATTTTGATATGATGATAAAAGAGCATAATTTGTCACCCAATGTCATTCACTACTCATGCATGGTTGATGTTCTAGGTCGAGCAGGACTGATTCAAGAAGCTAAGGATTTGATGGACAAAATGCCATTTGATGCTACTGCTCCCATGTGGGGTTCACTTTTGGGCTCCTGCAGGATCCATGGGAATATTGAATTGGCTGAAGTAGCGGCAACAAAGTTGTTTCAGATTGAACCAAATAATGCTGGAAATCATGTCTTGCTTTCTAACATCTATGCAGCAACAAAAAGGTGGGAGGAAGTCGCAAAGGCTAGGAAACTTCTTAAAGACAGTGAGGCAAAGAAGACTAGAGGAAAGAGTTGGATTGAAGTGAAAGACAAGGTTCACACATTTATGGTTGGGGAAAGAAGCCATCCTCAAATTGCTCAGATTTATTTGAAGTTAGAAGATTTGCTAGAAGAAATGAAGCTACTAGATTATAGGGTCAATACTGAGCATGATTTGCATGATGTGGATGAAATCAGAAAGCAGGACCTCCTGAGGCACCACAGTGAGAAGCTATCCTTTACTTTTGGGCTAATGAGTCTACCTCTTTGTGCTCCTATTAGAATCATGAAGAATCTCAGGATATGTGGGGACTGCCATTCCTTTATGAAGCTTGCTTCAACTATTACAGGGAGGAAAATCATTGTCAGGGACACTAACCGATTTCACCATTTTAAGAATGGGTTTTGTTCTTGTCAGGACTTTTGGTGATATTGCTTATTGTTTCACTGGCATTTGTTGTCTTTCGATATTTTGCAATTGTTTTTGGATTATGATCAGAAGATGTGTGATGATTATTTTCATTGATCATAAACCCAGCTTCGAAATCAGTGATATATCCTTGTTGAATGTGCTAGGATCTGCTTGCTTTTAACTGAAGATTTTACTTTCCCAAACAAGAGATGGGGCCTTGGTTTTGAAGGTGCATACAGGAATGACAAGGGTTCATAAGATTTGGACATACTTAAAAAGTGTCTTGGTATAAAATTTGGTGAGCAATTATCAGCTACTTAGTTGGTAATGTTTTTATTTTTTATTTTTTTATTTTAATTTATTTCTTTTAACTGTGAAACTAGAACTAAGTTGACATTTTGCAGGCTGTCAAAGTTATTGGAGAGTGACGGAAGTCACCGTCTGAGAAGAGAGAGGAGTTTCTGAACTGGGGCAAGTCTAGCTCAGCTTGTTTGTATGCTGAGGCGAACGGATCCCTTGTACCACTGGCCCCAAAAGTAAAACCCCACAAAGTTGTTAAACAATTTTAGAAATTTCCAAGCTTTTTTCTTGGGTTAAATGATTGTTTGATTTTTTTTTCCCCACAGAATATGATTCAGACCAGAATTTCCTTGAACTCAATCCACAAAATAGTGCACAAGTTGTCTGAGGAGTAGCAGGCAGCAGTCAAGGAGATTGGGGGGCTCAGTGAACTCATCCGCGGATGTCTTCTTTCGCATTGGGATTATTGCAGATAATATCCAGATAAACTTGAGTAGCTTGGCCCAGGTTAAGTGCTCCCACATTAGGAGAGGTCAAATAACGAAAAACTCTGCAATTTGATGAATTCTTGGCTTGGGTTGAGGAGGTCCCTGACTTTATTTTTGCTCTTATTGTTTCTAAAGCTTGTTCCTCCTTTAGATTCTTTTGTTGTTTCTCCAATAACAAAAAAAGAAATTATTGGAAATTATGGGTACAATAATAAATGTAATATCAATAGGAATTAACTTGTAGTTTTTAAAAATTATGTATTCAGGAAAATATATCAAAGAAATATTTGAAATGAAGTATAACACATATAAAAAGTAAATGGGCCATATAAAAAGTAGAATTTTAGGTGCTCTTGGACTAATGTATGTTTCATGTTATCTTCTAAAATATGTATACTATTATTTATGTGAAACTTTGAGATGTGTTTATATATATCATATTTTGGGGACATTTTGGATTTTCAAAATACTCCTATAGTTGGTGTTCACGTAAAATAAAATTATGTAAAGAGGAGGATGAGACTCAAAATCGAGACTATGAATTTGTTAAAAAAGATGTTTAACTCTTGAGCAACGCATAATAAGTGTGTATTATTATTATTTTAGTTGCATAGTTGCAGATGCATCGCATGTGTGGACCAGTTGTTAAAACTTTTAAATGAGGGTTCCTTTATAAAGATCAATAACTATGGATCGAAATTCTCTTATATGAATCTTTTTACAATAATTTTGTTGTGATAATTTAATGATCTATGATTAAAATTGAAATAAAACAATCTTCTTAGAACATGTGATTTTAAAAATACATTGTATTTAACTTCATTTTACTTTAGTTTTAAACTTGAATCCTTATATTATGATTTTTATTAACAGGTCTTTGCATAATAAAAAGTACAACAAAACTATGATAAAAAAAGGGTAAATTGCACTGACACCTCCTGAGGTTTCTGTTTAATACAGATCTCCTCGTCATATTTGAAAAATTACATTTATCCCCTGTCAGATTAAAATGACATATTTGTCCCATAGTCATTATACATATAAAATAATAAAATAATACAAATATTTTGTTCGTGTCATTTTAAGGGAAATAACAATCCTCTTCTTTGATTTAACTTATACAAAAAATTGAGTTTTCTTTCTTTTCTTTTTTTTTTACTGAAATTTTTTAATATTTTAAGTAATTTTTTTTTTATTTTTTAGATACATCTAATCTAAATATACTTAAGAAGTATAATATTTTGTGATTTTTTAAAATTCACCAAATACAAAAACAAAAACAAAAACAAAAAATTCAATACATTATCTTATTATGTTGTATTCAATGAATTTTTAAAAAAAATTTTGTACAAATTTTATACCTTCTAAATATATCTAGATTAAATAAGGGAAGCGGAACTAGCAACATTTAAAACAGAACACTGAAATAACATAAATTGATAGACTGGAATCAAAAGTACCTTACAATTGTTTATTGTTTACTGGAAGTTGGAAATCATAATTTCAAAATACAACAAAATAGAAATTACAGAAAGAGAGCATGAGAAATTTCTAAAAATTTCTAGATGCTCTTCTTCATGACTGAGGAGGTCTTTTATAAAGAAGCTGAATGACTATGGTTTTTGGTACGTCAATATTAGCATCAGCAGTATTACTTTGAATGCACAATGTTTTATCTTTGGGGCTTTTGACTAAAGAATGTACATTTAGATTGATTTTTATGCATTTATAATAAATAAGATATATTAAAGCAATAGATTGGGCACCATCTAGCATATCAGTAAATTCACCAGAAGTTTGAATATTTAAAATTAGAGTTTTTAAAAGGTGGGGATCACTAGGACTCAAAGTGAAATCAGGAAAGTAATTAAAATGAACTGAACCTTGATGAAGACTAAATTCCATTATACCTAACATACTGGTGTGATATTCTCTTAACCTAGTATCCCTAAGACATAATAATATTGATGAATTTATTCCTTTAATAGATAGTGATTTGACTACAACTTGTACTAATCCTATATGAATAAAATTGTGACCAGAGAATCTATATTTTTTTATAGATTCTTTAGCTAATATTTGACATGTTTCATGTACTTTTGTTAAGGCATAAACCTTTTCACCAGTTTTTACTTGTAAATCAATATTGAAAGAGGATTTAAGAAAGCTTGTTTTTATAAATTTCTTTGATTAGTAATTTTGAAATATTCCATCCGAAATCTATTTTTAAATCTTGAAATTCATGTTCGTCTTCATTTACTATTGTATCAGGTATGTGAGCTAATGATGTGGATCTAGAGCTGACTGAAGAGTTATTTCTAAAAAATCGACTCATGGTTCTAGGATCTATTAATTTTAAGTCTCTTAGATTATTTATTTCTTATCATGTTTTCACATACCTTGCTTTCACTCATACCCGAAGAAAACCCTATCCTTATTGCCTACAAGGACTTACAACGGTTGAACGATATCTGGGTGGCTAGTGACAAGTCAAAAATAAATAAAGAAATGAAGACTTGTGATAGAATTAACAAATAGAAAACAAGAACAAAGATGGATTAATTCAAAAACAACTAATCAATTAGCAACTACCAACTACTAGCTCTGACAATTTTAGCAATAAAACAAACATTGTCTGGCACGACCCAAACCCGCCCCTATAGGTTTGGCGTCATGACCGGCTAGTAATCCGAGATTACCAAAGACCTCTTAACAGTTATACAGTAACTAGGGGCTAGAGGAAGCATTATACAAAAATAACAAATGGTTCATTGAGCTGTAAGTCTATATGAACTGCATATGCACATAACGTTAATTTACCCACCCTCTATTGCACACATAATTTCTTATACAAAAAATCGTTATATATATACCATAAAGAAGATCAAAACTGTGATAACGGTCTTCCAAACCTAACCTCAACTCTGAGGCAACAAAACAGAACTCCAAAGACTTTACATGTTGGCTCGGTTAATAGGTTCCTTCTGGGCTTGTGCTTCTTGACGTTCACCTATACATATAAATAAACATAGTGAGTTAAAGCCTAGTGAATAACAACAAGGTAAAGGGTTAATGAATGACGTCCCAAATCAGTAATTCAAACAGTTCAGTTCATCAGTGATTCTTGAATCAAAACTTTATAGCATATCTTATTAGTACATGTAAACAGTCATACCAGTACATCCGTATCATAACAGTATGGTGGTTCTAGTACATCCATTAGCATAACAATATGGTGGTTCCAATTGGTACAGTTAGAGATTCCTGTGCACATATAGCCATGGTATTGTTACCTCCAAGCGAGGGCCACATAAACATAAGTTATGGTATTGTTACCCCTGAGCAAGGGCCACATGAACATAGGTTGCGGTATTGTTACCCCCGAGCAAAGGCCACATGAACACATGAACAAAAACCACGGTATTGTTACCCTTGGATAAGGGCCACGTGAACATATAAACATAAACCACGGTATTGTTATCCCCGGGTAAAAGCCACGTGAACATAAGGAAGCCACATTACATTTCAGAAGAATAGACAATCATTAATTTATGTCAGAAAATAAGTTTAACAGAGCATATCATATCAATCAAAAAATACATATAATCAACATCTCTTTAAAAAGTTGTTACTTACAATGGCTTCCAGAAACGGTTGCGCCATCTTCGACTCGTGACTTACAATCACAATGCACATAGCACAATACATATCTTATCATTATACACATTCAATTGGCCAACATGGCTTGGAATTTCTTACATTAACTCTTATTCATTCAGTCAGTTCTTATTTCGGTTCGGTTCAGTTCATTCGTTACTTCATTTCTTTCGTTACTTATTCGTTCAAGCATGTTCATTTGTTCTTCAATTCCATGATATGCAAATGCATAAGAAATACACGTGAAAACCATGCAAACAGAGGCTCAGACATCTGAAACATAACAGAAAACGAAACTAAAAAATGACCCTGTTGGCCGCTCGTGCGGTGGCTAAGCAAAATACAGTTTTGGGTGATCAAGGCTTGGCCGCTCGAGCGGTGGCCAGGCCACTCGAGCGGTCTAGGTAGAAAATCAGTTCGAAAATGATTCTTTCACTCGGAACTCCGCATTTTCTAAATCCAAACTCCATTCCATACCTTTCAAAGCCCAAAACTCATGAAAACATGTTGAAATACACATCCTTAACTTTAAACAAAACTCATAACTTCTTAAACAAACCCAATTTCCACTTAAAAGACCAAAACATTTAACTTAAGGTGCAAAATCATAGAATAAGCATATTTGAGTTCCAAGCTTCAAAATTTGTTGCAAACAAACAAGTTACAAACTTGAATTTCATGATATAATGCCATATATGCAAAAATTCAACATTTTTTTGAACTTATAAAACACAATACATGCAAATGATCTCATATAGTCCATGAAACACACTCTTTTACACTTAATATTCAAGGTTTAAGAGATAAACCCTTACCTAAAGCCTTCATAGACACTTGATCTTGCATAATCGTAACAAACCCAAGCCAAATCTTGAGTTTCTTCTTTGATTCCTATGCTTTCCCTCTTCTCTTTGAGCTCTCTAAGGCTCTCTGTCTCACTTCTAGAACTCTCTCTCACTTTCTCCCTTTCTCAGATTTTTGGTTGCACCCAAAGTGAGCTCATATAAGGCTTATATCACTTATATTCTATAGCCACATATCATACTTCAATAATGAGAGCCAAACACACCCTTACCGATCAAACAAAATCAATTTTTAATTAAACTTCCCAAATGGCTTCTAGGAACATATCTATATACTTCATTCTGGTTTCTGAACCCATTAAGGCCATTCAATTTTAGTGTCAAAGTTGTGACCCCAATAGATACTTTTCCAATTCAAACAAAGAAATTTGAATTAAATCACATTAACTCATAAGAAAATAAAGGTAATTTTGCTACATATTTTGGGGTCGTTACATTGTCATTGACTAAATATTAGCAATAAAGGAAACTAATTCTTGTGTTGACTCAATTTGTAGACTGAGGAGAAATAAGTGACTTGATCCATAAGGTTAGAAGTGATGATTTTTGGGATGGCACCATGTTGAGACCACCATCTTAGAAACCAAAAAGGAAATTCTGACTTGATTTGATGATCAAAGGAGAAATAATAAAGATACCATAAGGGATACAGATTATGTTCTTAACATTGGATTCCATATATTCAAAAGTTTTAATCAATACTCTTCTTTTGAGAAAAGTTGCTTCTGAATATATTCTGATTTCTAATTAGTCACTATGCATTCACGTCTCAACAACATTTCTACCAAAAGCAATGAATGGTGAAAAAGTCAATTTTATTATTCACATGAATAGTAAAAGTCAAATTTACTATTCATCAGTCATTCAGTCAATCAGATTCTCCATCAAACATTGTGCAGTTATGCATCTTCAACTAAATTGATCTAATCTAGATATAATGGTGAAAATAAAAATGAAAAGTTATATTTATATATAAAATTTATACAAAAAATATCATAAAAATGTTGTGATAGTGATATTGTTGTAAATATAAATTATGTTTATGGGTGTTTTGTTTTAAAGTGAAAGGTTACCATTAGGTTATATCATTGTGTTTGAAAATTCTATATAAAATTTAAGCTTGTATATCGTCACTCAATAAGAATATGTTGACGTATAATTTAATGATGGAAAGTTGTAGAATGTAGTCATGATGATAATAAAAAAAAATGGTAGGAAAAATGGCAAGATGGTCATTTAAAAAAATTTAAGACATGACATTAGTAATATATGAGTAATTTATAATGAGATTACAAACCTCAGGGAGGGGAATGTAATTTTTCAAATGCAAGGGGGATTTGTATTAAATAGAAATCTTGAGGGTGCCAGTATAATTTATCCCAAAAAAAATTATGACAAACAATTATACTGCATAAATTTACTCAAGGAATACTTGGGTCATGTTCGACAATGGTAGAGTTAGTAATTTGATTATTAGTATGATAGTGTTAAATTAGATATGATAGTATTAATTGGTTGAAATTAAACTTATATAATTATGTAAAAGTCTTCAATATATAAATAGGTGATTTTGTTATTTTGGTAAAGTGAAAGGTAAAATGGCATTTTTACCTTCAATCTTATGAATCTTAACCCCCATATGAATGATAATAAATATTTTGAGTGGATTAGCTATCTCCTAAGGCCTCGTTTGGGAACCAGTCCATTTAGCCAAAAAGTTAAAAAGTTACTAAAAAAGTCAAAAAGTCAACAACCCACACCAAAAAGTCAAAGATTTTCTTTTCTCTCTACTTTTTACACATCTTTTCTTAAAAAGCCAAAAAGTCATCCCAAACATACTAATTTTTTTTAGCCCATATTTTAGCCAAATAGCCAAAAAGTTACCAAATTAGCCTATTCCCAAACGATGCCTTAGTCTTATGAGTCTATGACATTTTTCTAAATAAAATATGATTTATGTAAAACTTACCAAATTGCTGATCTAATCTCACCACCTATATTTTAGCCAAATAGCCAAAAAGTTACCAAATTAGCCTGTTCTCAAACGATGCCTTAGTCTTATGAGTCTATGACATTTTTCTAAATAAAATATGATTTATGTAAAACTTACCAAATTGCTAATCTAATCTCACCACCTATGGAACAAAACAAACATAACCATTCCACAAAGGAATAAGAGGTAATTCTATTTACACATCATAATTTCTCTTAATTCACGCCATTGTTTTTTTTTTTATTTTAATTATCATTCCGTCCCTCAAGTAATTAATTTTTTTTTAAACAAAACCCTAAAATGTAATCTCTTAATGCACACCACTAACTACCACCAACCACCACTATGAAGTTGAACCTCTTTCTCACCTGCCACCCCCTTTCAAGCTCTATTGGTTCATCTATAACCACTCTAACGTCATTGATGCCTCACAACTTGTCATTCTTAAAACCACTACCATTACAACTCCCATTCTCCACAACTCACCACCCCACAGCCCCCACCTCCCATAACTCCAAACTCGCAAAGCAAAAAAAAAATTGGTTTCATGAAGAAATTAAAGGCAACGGTGGTGGGAAGGGACAATAGGGTAGTGAGAACGATAGGGTTAGAATTGGAGCTAAGAAAGTGCTAGGGCGTAGAGAGGGAGTTGACAATTTATAGTGGTAGTGGTAACAAGTTGTAATAATAAAAAAAAAATTTGAATTATGACCGAACACTAAATAAGATATAACCAAAGAGCTTATAGATCATAAGCAAAATAATGGGCTCGTTTGGGGATTAATTATTTTAATTGATTTTTTAACTTTTTATGAAAAGACGTATAGAAAAATTAAGAGAGTGATATAATTGAGCGTTTTGGCTCACCTAAATGGGGTCAATGTGATAACTAAAATCACAATAAATTATAATTAACAACATAATATATATAATCAAATTATAATTAATATTACAATAAATTATAATTAAATATTTTAAAAATTATAAGTAGGGCATATGATATGCACACCAAAAACAAAAGTAAATAACATGTAATGAATAATTTGTGACGTATAGAAATAGAAATAGGCACCAACTCGGGGTGTTCACGATTCGGTTGCGGCTGAAGAACATATAATCCGCCATCCGTCCGTCGGATGGGCGAATTGGAAAAAATCAATCCGCATTTGTCCGTCGAATTAACGGATGCAAATCAAGCGAATTTGTGGATTGGCGAATGGATGCGAATCGGATTGACAATTTAAACTTTTACAAATTTTAAACATAATACAATATCTTGTCTACATTTTTTTGGAATAATAATCAAACTCAACATAATCAAAAGATTATCAAATAAATTGTCAAATAATAATAATAAATACATATAAAAAAAATCATACATTATCAAAACTATTTCATTACTTTTTATTCAAAAACTATTTAATTTGATTTTTTTTTAAATGACGAAATTAAATCTTATATTTTCCACACAAAAATATCAAATATCAACATTTGTCATTTGATAAAAGGATTTTCAAATTAAAAATAAATTGAAAGTAAAATAGAATATCTAAACAAATTGAAAACACAAAATCTTACAAATTACTAAGGGTGCTTGAGGTTTGGCGGTTCGGTTGTGGCCAAAGGAATATCAAATTCGTCATTCGTCTAAAACTAGATGGATTGAAAAAAATCAATCCGTAACTGTCCGCTCGTCCTTACGCATCCGTCCAAAATACAACAGATCAGATCGATTCAATCGGTTTAAACAAATTGAAATATCAATTGCTAGCCCCTGGTGCCAACAAACTCGAGGGCCATGCCATGCATGCATGTCATTTCCTGGGTATATATAAGTGCCCTATTCTTATTGGCCAAAAGAGTAAAATATATACGGTGCCTAGCTCACCCAATCAATCCCAAATTCACAACCAGAAGAAGAAGAAACCCTAAATTTAATTTAAACCCCCTCCCTCTTTCTCTGTATTTCTGCACGGCAAACTGCGGCAGTCTTCTAGCCCTTCATTGGGAGCTTTTTTTTCTCTACTTGGCATCTTCAAGTAAGTTTCTCTGCTACTAATACACTCTCTGTTTGGTTCCTTAGAAAATTGAATTGAAAACAGAAAGAAAATTGTTAAACTTTTGTGTTTCTGTATCGTATGGTTGTTGTCGGGTGGCCCTTTCATATCTCATTCGTATTTTATTCATAGCCAAATAGAGAAGAAAGATTAGTGTTCCATAAGATTTGGATTTGGATTTGGATTTTCTCTCTGTCTCGCACACTCAGTTTTAGTCAAATATATACTAATTTGGCATATATTGATGCATGGACTTGTGTATATTTACAAACATATAGACACACATATGCATGACATGGATTAAAAGATGTGTATGCAATGTAGATTATATTACCATTGATTGCTGAGAAAATTATCGGAAAATGTTGTAGGAGGTTGGTTGTGGAATACTGATAAAATGTTATATGATTCATAGCTCTCTTTTAATTCCATTCCATGCGAATCAAGCCAATTCTTGATTTCTGTATTTCATAATCCAGACCCACATTTTTTATTCGAGAACCAATGGTAGCGTTTTGTGTAAAGATATGATGAGCCATCCATAAACCAATCAAATAACAGTGAGACGCGTCATTACGCTCATTAATGTTCTTCTCTTAGCTGTTCAATGTTTCATCGGCTCCATCTTCATTCAATCAATTCACAAATTCCAAATTCTAAAATAATATTATGAAACTCTAAACACTTCTATCTGTAAATCAAAATGGAGTAGCAACTGACCAAAGCGGGAGAAGATTAGTTGTTCAATGCCTCATGGGCTGCCCCTCTTCTCCGTCCAGCCTCGTTGTTTTCCTTCTCTCTCGGGGCTGGCCTTCTTCCAATTGTTCAAATGATTATTTCCCCTTCTACTAATCATCAAGTAAAATAAATCTAAGAAAATGTTATTGTAAATTTCACTTCTAATTGTACTTAAATTGCCCTAGCAACCGTGGAAGTTTCATTGGAGAGGAGTTATAGAGAGATGAGTGTAGAACTGAAGAAAATTCAAGAAGATCAAGACAAGGACTGCGAATCAGTGGATTAATTCCCATTGGAGAAGCCTTTTCCAAATGCGGGTATTCCAATAGTTTTTTATTTCATGCTCAGTCTTTCTAAGCAAACAAACAACAATGGCAGATCACCTATTGTCAAACAAACAAACAAATCAAATTTGCAATAATTTTTCTTAGATTTATTTTAGTCGATGCACGTAGTTTGGAGGAGGGGCGGGGGAGGGGGAGGAGGAGATGCTGGCTGCTGGGGAGGAGGATTGGAGAAACACTAGAACTGTAAGAGAACTAGAAGGAGAAAACAGAGAGTGGAGAAAGAAAATATTGGTCCACATGTTCTGATTTGTCAGTCACTTATTGGCTACCTGTGAACCATTATGGATAGGCCATGTATATTCAATCTCCAGTGTAAATAATGTGTGTGTGTGTGTGTGTGTGTTTTGAAGTACTATATATGCTTTACTATTGCATGTATTTAAGCCCAGTAGTTTCTTAGGTTCCACATAACAAAATATGCTTGCACTTTTATTTCATTACTTATTTCTATGTCTCCCAACAGTTATCGTTTTTAACCTGTTGTCAATTTTTTCTTTCCCACTTTGTAGATTTTGTTATTCAGGAGCTGTAGATATGGGTCGTGTGCGCACCAAGACGGTGAAGAAATCCTCCCGACAGGTGATCGAGAGGTATTACTCTAAAATGACCTTGGATTTCCACACAAACAAGAAGATCTTGGAGGAGGTTGCAATAATTCCCTCAAAGCGTCTTCGGAACAAGATTGCCGGGTTTTCCACCCATCTGATGAAGCGGATTCAGAAAGGTCCTGTTCGGGGGATCTCACTAAAACTACAAGAAGAGGAGCGTGAACGGCACATGGACTTCGTGCCTGATGAGTCCGCCATCAAAACTGACATTATTGAGGTCGACAAGGAGACCATTGACATGCTTTCTGCCCTTGGCATGGGTGACCTTCCTGGGGTTGTTAAGGCATCTGTTGAACCACAGGCTGTAGCTCCTGTTGCTCCTTTTGGTCGGGGTGGATCGGGTGGATTTGGAAGGAGGTACTGAGTTTTTGATTAGGTATGGGATTTTTTTGAGGGCAAGTTTAGTGGTTAGTGTAGTTTTTGGTTTTGTAGGTGAATCATATGTGTTTTGGAATTCAATCAAGACACAATATATATTGTTTGATGGATAATATTAGACTAGGTTGTTATGATATATGATTTTGCAATTGTTTGGCCTTTTCTGCATCATGGATTACATTTCTTGAACGCTAATTTCCATTGATTAAATTATTTAGTTGAGCTTGATAATGTTGATGTGCTGGGTGTGAAGTCCTTGTCTTATTTATATTATAGATGTAACACGATATGGGTTCAATTTAGTCAAGCAAACAATATGGTTTTCATGTTGTGATTATGTAGGCAATTGTTGTTCTTATTCAAGATGTGAATATTGGCACAATGACATATTTTTAGGATTTTAGAGATTTTTCCAGATATGTCTTGTGATAAAATCAGGAGGATTTGCTTGTTATTTTCTATTATTATTTTTAAATCGTTCTTTCTGGAGATGTTATGAACAATGTCTCAGAATGTTCCTTTGATGTTCAATGCTTTTGCTTGTGGGGAAAAGAAAAATAATTTGTTGCCGTAAATCAGATTCATCTCATTATATGAGGCATGGAATTTCTTTTTTTGGGATTCAAATAAGGCATGGAGCTTGTATTGTGAAATCCTGTTATGACAGGTAGCAATTACTTACATTTTGTTTGTCTTGAGAGGAATTTAAGAAATAAGAAACATTACATTCTCCATCTATTCCTGTATGTCGAGCCCAGGAAAATTTATTTTTTTTGGTTGACACAGTGGGTAGGGGTGTAAAATGGTCCGCGGCCCGAGCCCCGTTTAGGCCCGCTTGGGCCCAGGCCCCAGCCCGAGCCCATAGGTTAAGGCCTGGGCCATTGTTTGAAGCCCGGCCCGTGGCTTAGTCCATCAGCCCTCTTAAGGCCCATTTAGGGCCCGGTCCGAAGCCCAATCCGCCACACTCAAGGCTCAGTGTATTTTTTAATAAAAAATAATAAAATTTTGATAGAAAAAAAAAATAAAAAAAAAGGGTTAGGCTTGCCCAAGCCCAGCTCAAGGCTCGGCCTACTAATCCGCCCAAGGCCCAAATACCCTTGGGCTTGGGCTTATTTTTTTTAGTCTGTGAGCCGGCCCAGTGTAAATTTTAACAGAAATTCATGAGGCCCAACATGGACCCGGCCCGGAGCGAGCCCGGATGGGCTGGGCCGGGCCAGACCCCTAACAGTATATATCAGTAGTGGTTAACTTATTACTAGGGTATTAAACTCAAGACTTCAACTAGTGATCCCAGCCCCACAAAGTAGGGCCGAGCCCAGGACCTTAGATTGACTGCGTACACACATTGAAACTAGGTGGATTTCATAGTCTTTTTTCATTATCTGTTTGTTGAAGTACATACAACCTTTTTAATCAAAATGAGAATAAATTTTATCCAAAAAAAAAAAAAAGAAGCACAAAATTAGGCATTTCTTATGTATGCTTCGCCAAGTGTGGATGGAAGTGGCTGAGCTGGTTGTGCATTAGGAAAGTATTGTAAAACAAATCGGACACATTAGACCAATGCTATTCAGCTGCTATCACTCAACCATTTTGTTTGTGTGTGTCTATCTATATAGTGTTTGATAATAATAATAATAAGTGTGGTCTTTATTTATTTGGCTTGCTTAAAATATGTATATATATAGGCTCTTATTTATTCTTTTACTTTTTCCGTTGTTTATCTTATATATAATAGTTAGTGATTGATTTTTTGTATAATATAAAGTCATTAATTATTAAAATAAAATGTAAAAAACTCAGTTTATAATGATTTAAAAATATGAAATATATTGGATCAAACTTAAAAATTTATAAAAATTGATCAATATTTATTTTAAAACCCAATAAATATGATCGTGGAAAAAAAAAAGTGTGTATCGGTAAGTTTTTTTCAAATTGTGTAAAAAATAAAAAAATTCACGGTTCCGGTTACCGCAATCGTTACGCTACGGCCTTTACACCCCGCAACCACAATCGCGCCACCGCCACCGTTACGGCGACTGCAACCGCTTTTCAGAATTTTGGTTGAGCTTGATAATGTTGATGTGCTGGGTGTAAAGTCCTTGTCTAATTTATATTATAGATGTAGTAACACTATATGGGTTCAATTTAGTCAAGAAAACAATATGGTTTTCATGTTGTGATTATGTAGGCAATTGTTGTTCTTATTCAAGATGTGAATATTGGCATAATGACATATTTTTAGGAATTTAGAGATTTTTCCAGATATGTCTTGTGATAAAATCAGGAGGATTTGCTTGTTATTTTCTACAAATGCAACCGGAAGGTCTATGAAAATTATCAATTCCAATGACAAGTAGCCTCATATTATGGATGGTTGGTGTAGATTATATAAGTTACTTGTAATTTATTTTAATTTGAGAGTTTATGCTATTTTGTTTAGTGCAGTTTCTGGTATATTTGACAAAAATAGTTTAAATAAGTTAAAAAAAAAATTGATTAATTAAAAGTTAGGAGGGATAGTTTTGACATCCACTTTTTGATTATTAAATTTTAACTTATAATACAATACACCAATTATACTTGTGTGCATATTACTGCGAGTGCCACACTTGTAATCCAAAGTGTTTATAATGGTAAGCATTTAAAACTGGCAAAATACTGGGATCAATTTCTATTCCTGATAATAAATAAATAAAAATACTAAATGTATTGTGTAATAATAAAATTTTAAAAATTAAAACATAACTCAGTTAAATAATATGCGATAGATATCACATCAGTATATTAGTAAAATTTGTATAATAGTTTAATTCAAGGGGAACTTACTAATAAGTCTCATTTACAAAGTTCAAGACCCAGCTAATTCTCAAACAAAACATTTGCACCAATTAATCCTATACATTTTTAATTGTTACCAAAAAATCCTAATTTTTTTTTTAAAAAAAAATTTACAGATACTGTTACATCTTACTACCGTCGGATTTTCATCAAACGGTCGCCGGAGACTCGTCGGAATGTTCAACATCACCGGGAAGTCGCCGGAGTTTCGCCGGAAGTTCACCGGAGTGTTAAGAACGTTAATGGAAGTCGCCGGAATGTTCAGAATGTTCGCTGGACGTTAAAAACATCATTGGAGACTCATCGGAATGTCTAGAATATTACCGGAAAAAAAATAAATTGAGAAATTAGAGCAAAAAAAACATAGCAAAACGTGCTAAATATTGATAAACTAAAAGGAAAAAAAAATGAAACGACAAAAAAAGCAACAATGGGAAAAACATATACTACTTTTCGATTTTTGTAAGGTTCAAGCAAATAATCTCCAATATTGATCAAACTGAAAAGTAAGTTTTGAAACTGTAAAATGTTACAGTTTCAAAACAAAAATCTATTAAGCATTTATCTTTATTAATCAAACTGAAAAACATGTTATGAAACTGTAAAATTTTACAGTTCTAAAGAATGTTATAAAACTGCAAAATTTTACAGTTTTATACTATGATTCATTCCAGCACCAAAAAAATTTGAAACTGCAAAATTTTACAGTTTTCACCGCCTGTAACTAAAACTCGAAAACTACTTGTTCAGAATTTAAAAATTTTCTCCATTAGAACAGAAAAACAGAAGTGTATAGCAGAGAAATAAATAAATAAATAAGAGATCGAAGGAGAAAGGCGGATATAGAGAGAGGATTGTACTCCGGCAACTATTTTTTGTTTAGATCTAGCCAAATCTGATGTAGATCTATTCAGATCTGATGTAGATCTAACTCATCTTCTTCGTCGAAAATATATCATCTTCGCCGTCAGTGAGGGTGAAGTCACGAGTTGATTTCGATGGTTGGTGGTTTTCGGTGAACCCCGATCAATGGAGAAAGACGTGATCACCGGTAGTCATCCATGACAAAGAAGATGAGAGAAAAATGCAAAAATAAAAGAGAGAAAAACGTAAACAATCAGGCAAAAAGGAGAGAGAGAGAGAGAAAAGAAAGTAGGACTTTTGGGTCTACTCAAAAAGTTACTGGATTAAATAGTGTCCACATATTTCACATAGGACCTGTGGGTAATTTCCCCTTAAATCAATGGCACGTCCTGTTAGGCCCATAATACAGGGGCAAGTTATTGCACAGTTAATCTTGTAAATGTTACAGTAAAACTTATTTACCTAAAAAATTAATTTTATTAGATATGATAAATAAATAAATAAATCATATTTTGTTTTATAAAATAGATAATGTAAGTTTAAACTCATAATTGTCTTTTATTTTAAAAATCAAAATATATTTTGTTTATGTGTTTAGTAATATCTGATAAAAGTGATTTTTGCACAACTTATCTTTGTTAATAAAATTACGAGATAAATGGTTCAGATCATCTTTGTAAGCTCAAAATGAGATCTACAAAATAGAATAAAAAAAAGATAATAACATTTTATGAAGTATGGGTACTTAAAAAATATTGTCGTATTCATACGGGGTACTTACTCAGTACGGATACTCGTACCGATAAGGCTGCATGCGTACAAAGTACGTGAAATACGTACTAGATACTTCTTATACATTCTTTGACAGTTGGGAATTCCATGGGTACGGGATGGGTACACTAAGCTATGAGATATTGGTGGAGATATATTTAATTTATTAGAGAGTTTTGATTTATTTAAAATTTCAAATCCTTTCCTTGATGTGGTAAAGATGAAAGATGTATTATTTAACGATAAAATTGATGAAAGTGAAAATTGAAAATTGAAAATTTAAATTTCAAATTTTGCTTAGCTCGCCTTTGGAATGAAATTTTATTTTGTAATTTCTCCTATTTAATCGCATTAAAACAGTTTGTAGATTTTGCTTATTGATATTGTTGAACTATAGTTTTTGTTTTGATTTTATAATTTTTTCTTTTAGTTTTAGTATTGAACTTTAATTTATAAATTAAATTTCAAACTATAAATTAAAAAAAAAATTATTAACGGACCTCAATTATACTCGTACCTTATATATATATATATATATATTTAAAATCTTATCCTATCAACCTACTCTTATTATATCTATATCAATATTCATATCGATACCCATATTTTTATAAATAACTTTATGTTGCCATTATAATTAATTTTCTCCACAAATCCGACTCATCCCATCTCATCCCATTTCATCCCTTTGTCAATCCTATCCTCCTTACCAATCCCCCTTCCAAGGGTATTAGCAATACCAAGGGACTAATAGTCCCAACCCTTTCTCTGCAAACAAACAGGGACTTTAATAATACCTTGGTATTACTAGTCCCAATACCCTCCCTATAGCCCAAAACAAACGGGGCCTTAATGTCTTGATTGACAAGTATATGCATTGACACATTTACCAGAACCACTAGCTACAACCATCTCTATTATTCTTCTTCTTAAAAGCATTAATCCAATATTCCAAAGTTATTCTTCCATTCCTTGTTTGTTCAAAAAACAATTCATCGGTAAGATGCCCACATGTCCAAACTTTTAGATTAGTGCCTAAATACATGTATATAAATCAGGGTCGGCTTTGAGGGTAGGCAAGAGAGATCTGCGCTTTGAGCTCTTAAATTTAGGCTAAAAATAAGAGTTCACAAATATAATTTTATGTTTTATATATAAAAAAAGGCTCAAATACTATAGGCTCAATAGAATATGGGGCTAAAAAAAAAAAAAGACTAGATTTTTATTTTTTTTAAGTATTTGTAATGATTGCTTCCTATCTTAATATATGAAAGTAAATTTTTATTTATAATTTTAATAATTATATGTGCAAATAAATTTTTTTGGGACTACAAACAAATAAAAAGGTTATAACTTAACGTTTTATCTATGATTTTTTTTTTCAATGTAAGAGAGCCCATTTTCGAAATTCACCTTGCACCCCGTAAATCTCAAGGCCGGCCCTGATATAAATATACAAAATTTAGTATACAAAGTTGTTTTTATAGAATGATGTAATTGTGTCATTTTGAAATTATGAACTCAAATGATGCATCTTTTATTTTGATATGATACAATTATAATTCGTTGTGTTGTTTTATTTTTTTTAGAATGAATAATGGTATACAAGTAGTACTTTTTTTTATATATATAGAATAATATGGTTATGGAGAAAGTTAAATATGCATTGTTATTTCAACAACTTAATCTTTTGGGATTAATGATAATATTTATTATTATTTGCAAATATTAATTACTATTATTTATAATATTTATCACTTACTTGTAAATATTTTTTCTGACAACGACTGCTGCCCTTTCTTCAATAATAATTTAGATAAAAGAAAAAAAAAAACTCTTTATTTTTTGGTGAAATGTAAGAATTCCAATCAATTTAAAAACTATTGGTTATAGGCAACTTAGCTTTGCCTCACATGCATTCCACTTTTCCAATAACAAAAATCTTTTCTTGCCTAAAAGAAAAAGGCAAAAACCACTTGTATATTATTTCATCCACATCATACTAATATCTCTTCACTACCAAATTATAAAACACATAAGCACTAGCACTACCTACAAAAGTACAGTTCACCATTACACTCCTCTCTTTCCCAACCAAATGAAACCCATGAAACCAAACCCTCCACTCCTTCCTTGATGATTCATCTCCTCAATAACCTCTATTCTACTTAGTGAACCCACAAGCAAACTCATCAAAAACAAACCAAACAAGATGAGAACAGGAGGTTACACCACCCATCAAACCCTAACCACTGAAGCTGCAACCTTTGTAAACCAAGCTCTAACCCTAGCCAGACGGCGAGGTCATGCCCAAGTCACTCCTCTCCATGTTGCTAGCACCATGCTCTCTTCTTCCTCCACTGGTCTTCTTCGCACCGCTTGCCTTCAATCCCATTCCCACCCTCTCCAACTCAAAGCCCTCGAACTTTGCTTCAACGTCGCCCTCAATCGCCTCCCCATATCCTCCTCATCAACACCGCGGTCCTTCACTCTCTCCAATGCCTTAGTCGCTGCCTTCAAGCGAGCACAGGCTCACCAACGCCGCGGTTCCATTGAAAACCAACAACAACCCATTTTAGCCTTGAAAGTGGAGTTGGAACAGCTTGTGATCTCCATTTTAGATGACCCTAGTGTTAGTAGAGTCATGAGAGAGGCTGGTTTCTCTAGCACCCAAGTGAAAGCCAATGTCGAACAAGCCATGTCACTGGAGGTTTGTTCTCAAAGCCCTAGCCCTCCTCCTGTGAGTTGTTGTCAGTCCAAAGAAATCATCACTAAACCAAATGATCAAGTTAGTACTAATAGTGAAGAAGATGTCAAGAGTGTTCTAGACTCATTGGTGAGGAAAAAAAGGAGAAACATTGTTGTTGTAGGGGAGTGTTTGGCTAGTGCAGAGAGGGTGGTTAAGGGAGTGATAGAGAAATTTGATAGAGGAGATGTCCATGGGGACATGAAGTATGTCCAATTCATAAGCCTTCCTCTTTCTTCTTTGAAAAATCTTCCGGTGGGCGAGGCGGAGAAGAGGTTTGGGGAGCTGAGGTGTTTGGTGAAAAGTTGTGTGGGTAGAGGGGTAGTTTTGTATGTGGGTGATCTTAAATGGGCTTCTGAGTTTTGGTCAAGTTATGGTGGGCATAGTAGAAACTATTGTTGTCCTGTGGAGCTCATGGTCATGGAGCTTAGTAGATTGTTGGGTGGAATTGGGGAGAGTGGGAAGCTGTGGCTAATGGGAATCGCAACTTTACAGACTTACATGAGTTGCAAGACTGGCCAACCTTCTCTTGAGACACTTTGGCAACTTCATCCTCTCACAATTCCTGTTGGCAGCTTGGGACTCAGTCTCACCCTTGAGAGGTAAACTAGACATTTCCCAAAGTTTTTATTTTTATTTTTATTTTTTAATTTTATTTATTTTATTTTTTTGTTGGTGATTAAGGAAATAAAAAATTATATCTATAAATAACAATAAAATTCAAATTCAAACATCACCTCTAATAAGAGAGCATTTCACCCAATGGCCCACACAAAGAGTTGTGGGCTAGGTGCTTCAACCCCTAGGCTTTTGAGGAATGTCATTTTTAATTTTTTATCATGTAATTTTGAATGTTTGCAAAAGAATTTTGCATTTTGGCCCTTCTAAAATCTTATATTATTTTCATTCAGTTTTCAATATTTATAAAATAAATAAATCTGGCCACCCAAACCCTTAAAAAATCTCGTTATTTTCATTCAATTGAAAATAAATTAGTATTTTGATCTCCAAAGGCTACATAATTATACTTTAATCTTAATATTTCTCAAAGTCTAACAGCCTTTTAAAATTCCAAGAAATCAGCTATTTTTTATTTTTTCTCTAAATTTTTAAGGTGGGTAATCATATTAATCTTGTTTTTTCTTTTGCTTTTTCTAGTGATATGCAAGGTCACGAGTTCCAAAGCAAGGTACCGAGAAATGAGTGTAGCTGGTCACAAATTAAAATTGGAGTTGAAAAAAACCTCAATTGCTGTAAAGATTGCTTGGCCAACTTCAATAGAGAAGCTGGAAGCATAGGCAGCAATAGCTTTTGCAATGAATCCACTACCACTTCCAGCAGCTCATGCTTGCCTTCATGGCTTCAACAGTACAAGGAAGAAAACCTAAGAAAAACTACCAATGATCAGGTACCAATTTTCAAATTCCATTAATTGTATTTTCAGTTTTTTATTTTTGGTGAGAAACAAAATACAAAAACTCATCTGGTGTACAAAAATATTTTGAAACCAACTTAAAATAAAAGATAAAGAAACATATTTAGTGAGTTGTCAAAAGTGGTGGTTCGCATTAGAGGGTGGTCAGATGTAGTGGTCGATGGTGGGGTCGCCTGAGGTGGCTATCGGAGTTAGATTGTTTTGAGCGTCACCAGAGATAATGGGCGGTGACTGTCTGGTCACCAGACTCCTTCGGAGAGTCGTTAAAAGTTGATCGGAGCTTGCCAGAGCATCATTGGTGACCCGTGGTGGGTGGTGGAGGAGGGCGAAGAGAGTGAAAATTTATTTTGAAAATAAATAAAAATACTTTTTTTTTTCCAAAAATTTTGAAAATATTATAATTGATTTCACTTTTTTAAAAACAAAAACAATATATTAAACAAATTTCGGTTTCGATTTCAGTTTTCAAAAAAGATGAAAAGAAAAAACTAAAATGGAAGCATTATCAAAGAAAGCTAAATGTGGTCCCATATAAATCCCCAATCCAATCTTACATTCCTTCTATCTTTTTTTTGTTTCAGGAATTCAACAAACTTAAAGATCTATGCAAGAAATGGAACTCAATTTGCAGTTCAATCCACAAGAAGCCCCACTTTTTTGAAAATGCCCTTAATTTTTCATCTTCTTCAATTTCAACCTCTTCATATGACCGGCACAAACCTAACTTGCATCACACCCTTTCAAACTGGCCAGTGATTTTCGAACCTAAACCATCACCAAAAGAACACCAATTTTTCACACCTGAAAATGGCATTGAAAGCTTCGAATTTGGATCCAGTTTGAGAAGATACATTCCAGAGAGAAACGAGCGAAAACCAGACCTTTTATCAAACCCTAATTCTAGTCCTAACTCAGCTTCTTCTAGTGAAGCAGAGGAAGACATTGTTGAGTGCTTGGACAGGTTCAAAGAGCTTAATTCTGAAAACTTAAAAGTTCTATGCAACGCATTGGAGAAAAAAGTCCCTTGGCAAAAAGACATAATTCCAGATATCGCGAGCACAATCCTTCAATGTCGGTCTGGAACTATAACAAGAAAATGCAAGTTGAAATGCAGAGAAGACAAAGAAGAAACATGGTTGTTCTTCCTTGGTGTCGATTTTAAGGCCAAAGAGAAGATTGCGAAGGAACTAGCAAAGCTTGTTTTCGGCTCTCAAATAAACTTTGTCACAATTGGACTAAGCAATTTCTCATCAACAAGAGGTGATTCAAGTGAAGAGTTTAGCAACAAAAGAGGAAGGGATGAGTCGGGTTCAACTTATTTAGAGAGATTCGCAGAGGCAGTTCAAGAAAACGCTAGTCGTGTGTTTTTCATGGAAGATGTCGAGCAGGTTGATTACTGTTCTCAAAAGGGTATTAAGAGAGCAATTGAAAGCGGAAGAATTGCACTTCCTGGTGGTGAATTGGCTCCTCTTAAGGATGCCATTGTCATTTTCAGCTGTGAAAGCTTTAGCTCAATGTCAAGAGCTTGTTCTCCTCCTATTAGGCCTAATTCAAGCGATCAGAGCAAAAACAAAAATGATCCTGAAGAAGATGATGAATTGGAAGAGAGAAGACCACCTTGTGCTTCACTGGATTTGAATTCTGCCACTGAAGATGAAGAATATTCAGTTGCTGATATCTTGGACTATGTGGATAGGCAAATCATTTTCAAAATTCAAGTGCTGTGAAATGAAGGACCTAACCAGAGTTGAGAAATCTTTTGGGATAGTAACTTTAAATTTTCATTTTCCTTTTTTTTTAAAAAAAAAAAATTGGAGGGGGGAAAGGAAACATCTATTAGGCCAACAATGAGAACTTCCATAGATGCCATGTAGAACATGTGTAAATTAATTTATATCTGATGTTGTTTCTTGTAACAGTTTCTTTTAGAGTTGAGTTTCTCTTCACTTTATTAGATTGTTTAGTTCAAAAATTGCAAGATAAGTTATGAAGTCCATTGTGGAGCCTATGGCTCCTCTCATAATTTTTGGACTGAATCCACTGGAGATAAGCCCAACTCTTTATTTAACTTATAATTTCATTTTCTTCAAGTTCTAGTTTCAAGTGCAACAACTATAATTGAGTTATGGTATAATTCCTTTTTCTTCCAATCCTTTTGGAAAAATGTTAGTATTACATAAATGAATTTCTTAACTAATTCTTTTTTGCAAGAGTGATTATGGTAGAGAACTTTGGTCCATCCCACGACATCTCCGATTGCCATCTTAGCTCCTTCCTAATCCTCTTGCCATCCCCACACACTCTCCCACCACCGCAACACCCCTCCAACCCTCCCATTGGCGTGGAAGACAATTTATTTCATTTTATTTTATTTTTTGTTGTGTTCGGGCATTTGTTCGGCTGTGTCTAGCTAAAGGCAGGCCAAACGGATTAAAATTGGAGAAATTAGTCATGCTCAATCTTAGTTATCCAAACAACCTTAAAATGTTCAGTAACTAAGGGCAAATCAGAACCTAACGAAACTTTTGACTCCATTTTTTTCAAGTAGCACATAACTGCATTAAAATGATAAAAAATCAAACACAAACATCTCTAAATGGATTTTTTTTTACAGATTATTTTTTCTTAATGTTCTTATGGGAGAGAGCTGACCCCATTTGATGGGACTTAAGACTTGGTTTGGCTTGGTAATATTCTTATGGTAGAGGTGTTGGGAGTTGCAGGAGTGGAGAAAATAAGAGAAGTGAATGGTTGTGGTTGGTGGAAGAGAAGTGGTGGTGATGGGTGGATGACAGTGGTTGGCAGAGAACGGTGGTGGTGGTTGAATGATGGGTGTAAAGAGAAATTCTATTACGTTTTCTTGAATATTTTAGTCCTAGTTTTACAAATGGGTAAAATTATTTTTAAATAAATTTAAAATTTGGGACGTAATGAGTTGAAACTGTTGTAATGAGTTAAAACTGTTGTATAAATAGAATCATCCGCCGATATATAATCACATACGTATTATTCTAATACCATCATTAAACCATAGTTTGAACATCTTTAGCAAGAGAATAAGAAGGGAAATGCAGGTGAGTGCATAAAGTTTGACAAAGAAATGATTCATAACGTGAGAATTGTGCAAACTAAAAGCTACTTTAGAAGAAGATAAAAAAGAAAAATCTTCCTAAACAAACATGGGAAAAAAAGCCATTTCTTTTCATACATGGTGAGCTCATTTTCACTTTTCCTTTCTTTTTTTGTTCCATTTGAATTTAACTTTGAATGGTAGCTAAGAGAAGATGATCAGTATAAAATTGACAAGACGAATCTAATCTTTTGAACCATAAAGATATTCCCCACTTTATGATAAAGAATGAACATTAGCTTTCAAACATTTATTAGTCTAATTAGGTGGGAATATAAACTTGAGGAAGAATTCCATTTTCTGAGATTAATTCTTGGCCAAATTATAAAGATAGTCCACACATTTTGTTATTTGTGTTATTTTTGTCTCCACACTTTTAATTGACTCAACTTTAATCCTTAATTTTATACTTTGTCTCAATTCAGTCCAATTGATTATGTCATGAGGGTTTTTTATGGGAACATCACTGAGTTAGTTGAGATTAAATAACTAAATTGATCAAGTTTACAATTTTATTTACAAAAATATAGCATATGCAACTTTTGTGCATATTTTTCATTAAAAAAATACTAACAATTATAATCAATTGAATTAAATTAATACAAGGAAAAAATTATGATGGTAGCCCCTATATTTCACCTCATATGTCATTTTAGTCCATGTACTTTCAATTGGCTCGATTTTGGACCATGTACTTTCAATTAGTTCGATTTTGACCCTGAATTTATGATTTTACTTCAATTTGATCCAATTGAAAATTACTCTTAACATTTTTTTATGGAAAACACGCACATAAAAGTCACGTGCCATATTTTTTAGGACACTCAACTCATTTAGTTAACTTTAACCAATTTAGTGATAATTTTTTTTAAAAAACACTAACGATATTATTAATTGGACCAAATTGAAACAAAATTTAAAATTAAAGGTCAAAATTGAGCCAATTGAAAGTATATGAATCAAAATGACGTAATGGATAAAATATATGGGCCATCAGTGTAATTTTCCCTTAAGATGAAGTAAAAAATTTAGGGTTAAAATTGAACTAATTGAAATTATGAGGACCTAAATGACACAAGAATTAAAATATAAGAATTAATGGTATAATTTGCCCTCAATTCTTTCTTTCAAGGGACAATTGCTGCACAGTGGTGGCAAGAAAAGTTAACTACACATTAATGAAAAAGTTTATAATTTTAATAATTAATATTTATAAAATTTATCATTTTTTTATAAATTTTGTTTCCGTGACTGTGGTGTAGTTTCCCTTCTTTTCAAATATGAATTTTGGGCTACCTCTATATATACTTTTCTTCCTTAAAAAAATCTCTCAAATGTCATGATATTAATAATTGTATTGATGTAGTACGCATAATAAGGAGTAAATGGCAGCCTGAGACCATCATACAGCCCATTAGGGCTAAAATGGCTAAAATGTTAGAAGAAATCTTTCTTGAGGAGATTACAAAATTTATGAAACTATCAATCATGTTAAGTTGTGTCCAAAATCAATCATTTTAACCACATTTTGGCATATTTTTGTTTAAGCAAAACTTCTCTTTGAAAAATCTTAAATCTCAGAAATATTGATTTGTGATTATGTTTCAATTTAAAATAATAAATAACAATTTCAATTGAACAATCAAGACAAATCAGTGTAACGATTTAACGTGAAAAAAATCACAATTAGAGTGCCTTCCATTGTGATAAAAAAATCACATACTAAAGTTATAAAACAATCCACTAAGAAGACAAAAAGGAATTAAACACGTATACCCTCAATTACTTAGCGAATCTACGCCAGAATTGAGCCGGCCCCGGTGTGCTTTTTTCACCACCGTCTTTACCTTGGAATTGCCTTGCCCAACGTTGAATTCACAACGCCGATATCGAATCTACGATGATGAGCCACTCCGGAATCTACTAAAACTTCGGACCCAAGTTTTCCGAAATCTACCAAAGAACGCTTCTCTCTTTTGTGAATAAAAGAAAACAAACAAACCTCTTGATGATGTTAATATGAAGTTCATAAATCCATTGATTACTCTCAAATCATCAAGGAAACACTCATAAAAATACCATCAAATATAGAAAACCTTGATAGCTTTGCTCTCCTAGAAATTGGATGACTTAAACCCTAAAAATAAAAAATTACACACTTTATAGTCAATTGAATCACGAAGACCGCTTGAGCGCACATTTTACCGCTTGAGCGATATGAGTAAAGGCTGTGTAAAACATATAAGTCAAATGCTCAAGCGCAATTTTCACTGCTCGAGCAATAAAACTTTCTTCCCAAAAATTTAGGCGCGCGCTCTGCAAAAGTACTGGATGATGTCCTTTACTGCTCGAGCGCACAAATGACTGCTTGAGCAGTCCCCGTACATAATTAGCGAAGTGGCAAATATGAAAGCCTCAAGATCACAAAGTCCTCTGCATAGGCATAATTCGGATTGGATTCGCATCTAAACACTCACATCCTCATTAAAACAAAAGAGCACATAAAATTACAATTGAAAGGAGTTTTGTCAAACAAGATTGTCAATTACAAAAACCTAACACTCTTTTTAGTAAAAATTTTTTATTTTGTCTTTATTCAAAAATGAGTCTAAAAATGTGTGAACAAAATACAAACTCTCATTAGTCTAAAATAGTGGGCCAACAACTTTGGGTGGGAGCAATAAAATGTTTTAGATATAATCCATTGTTTTAAACCAATTACAATTTGTATGTGAACAAATTCATTTTCATTCAACAACTCAATTGAAACCGCTCAATAGAGTCTATTTTGTTCCAAAGAAGAGGTATCTAAAACAATTTCTATCAAATCTAGATATATTTCTTCTCACTTTGTTTTTCAAAATTAATTTGATATTTTAAGTTGGAATTTCAAGTCATAGAACCATGTAAAATCATATAAACCTCTCTCTCCCACACTTATTATGTTTTAACAAAGCACTTGCTTATTATCACTTATATATATATATATATATATGTCTATATTATTATATGAAGTGTTTGTTGAAAATGTTGTAGCTCAAAATGAATGTAAATGGTACACTAGTTTAAATTTAAAAAGAGAAAAATACTTAAAAAGAAGTTAAGAATTCATCTTTTGAGGAAAGCGCTAGTAAAAAGAAAAGAAAAAAGGAAAAAGGAAAAAGGAAAGCACTAGTCGATTACACTGTTTTCTTGATTATGAAAGAAAGAATGAACAAATGAATGAAAGAAGAAAAAATAGAGAAAGAGAGGATTTGGAGAGGCTGTTGTGCGGTGTACAACAATCATTGTTGTGCAGTCAAATGAACTCATTTTGGGGTCTATTTCGATTATTCAAAACGTTTACATTTAGAATATATCAAGTAGAACATACCTGCAAAAAATCAAATTAATCGGATATTGTTTACCCTTTCATCTACTCACATTTGTATTCATTTTAATACTTTAAATCACAATCGTTATTTATTTTTATAGATACAGATGTGAGTAGATGAATCGGTAAACGATATCCGATTAACTTGATTTTTTACAAGTATGTTCTACTTGATGTATTTTAAAATGTGAACGGTTCAGATTATCGAAATGGGTCTATTTGGCTGCACAATAATGGCTACTATATATGTTTTTTCTTCTTTGATCAAGAGGATATATTTTTCCTTGTTCGATCGATCAATTCAAAATTATATATATACCTTTATCTACTTGCAAGAAACTTCCACTTTATAGATCATTACACTAAATGTTTTTAAATTTTCACTGAACTTGAATTTTACAAATTTGAATATTGA